CTGCGCACTGCCTCCACAATAGCACATCATTATTATGACAGAATTATTATTCTCAGCTGCTGGCGCTATCCACTCCCTTGCCTCCCTGCCCTCTCCCCCGTGAGTTACGGGAGGCCGTGTATGTGTGTGACTGGCACTCAGCGAACCCTGGATAAGTCACAGGATGAGCTCACTGTCTAGCAGAAGTGACGAATTCCACGTGCTAAGTGCATTTAAGACTTCTGAGACCTCTTCTTGCTGAGACCCAGAGGGCTTCATGGTGGAGGTGGCGCTGAAAGGACGGGGAGATGAGGACAAGGATGGGGACGGGAGGAGAAGGTGGGTAGGACAGTCCCTTCCCCTGCCCCAGCTGAGCCCCTCGGAGCCCCTCCCAGTGGGGGTGCCGTGGGAATCCTGTCCTCCGGTCCCTGGTGTCATGACAGGAGCTGGGCAGAGGGGAAGGGGAGACACGCACGACCTTCACTTCCAAGTCCTTGGTCTTGAGCAGCTTCAGCAAAACCACCAGCAGCAGCAGCAGAGGTGAGCATGGGATGTGCCAGCTGCACTGGGGACAGCTCCAGACGCCCGAGGGAAGCAGGTCAGCGAGGGGTATCACGCACTCTGTCCCTCCATCCCAGCCTCTCAGAGCCTCAGCCTGCCCCCCATCCAGTGGGGCTCACACCCTCTGTGTCTCCTTCCCAGGCAAGGCGAAGACTCAAATGTAGTGACAGGGCACATGAGGCAGTGGGGTGACACAGGGCCCCCAGCCGGGCTCTGGGTTCAGGCTGTGGCTTGCTGGTGCCTGCGTTCCCAGGCTGGGGTGCAGGAGGCCTCGGCCCAAGGGATCCCCTGCGAGTAGTAGCACACGGATTGTCCTGGAGGCCAGTCCCTCAGTCCAACTACACCCCCTTTGGTTCTGAAATGGCCCCTCCCTTGCCAGGTCTACAAGGATCCAAAGCTTTGGAAGGGCGGAGCTCAGTCCTAAACACGCCCATTTCCAGACCCCGTGTGGTGCTGCCAAAGCGGTCTCAGGCATCCCTGAGCAGCCGGCTGCTCGGCAGGTGGAGAGGCGAGCAAGCGGAAAGAGGGCTCACAGCTGCCAAGCAGTGCACCTGGTACCTCCCCGCTCCCCCACTCATCCTCCCAGCGGCCCCACGGCATGGGGCTAGTTCACCATACTGCCGATGGAAGACCCCCAGAAGTGACCCGAGCAGGTAATGGCAGCAGAGGGAACCCAGCTCCCAAATGCCCCTGCCCTGGGCAGTGGGCCTGCATGTGATGGACCCTCCATGTGTGCATGCCATCATCAAAGCTCATTTCCCCCAGGGCCCTGCGGGGTGGTCCAGTTGTGGACCAGGGGCTGCAGCCTTCGGCCAAGCCACGGCCACTCGGATGCCCTGGGGTGATGAGGCCTCAAGCCCAAAACCCAGCAAGCAGCTCCTCCTCGGGGAATTGGCCACACGTCCTTCCTGCTCCCTGGTAAGCCCGGAGACCTTAGGGTCCCCTGTTCTTTTCCCAGGATCCCATGGCCTGAAACCACAGGCCCTCTGGCTGGGCACAATTCTTAGAAGATGCAAACAGACTGAAGAGAAGCCTCCTGTCCCCAGGGCCACCTCCTGTGGCAAGGACACTCAGGGATGGCGAGGGGACAGCCTGGCCTCTCTGCCTCTGATGCTCTGAGGGCACTGGAGGCCCTGACTTGGCAGGAGTGAAGGCCAGCAGGCACAGGACTGTGGCCCCTGCATCCACCCCCAGCCCAGCCCAGCCCTGCCAGTCTCACCCTGGGGGTGCTGGTGTCGAACAGCAGAGTGGAAGGGCAGGGAAGGCAGCAGGGGGAGCCCAGGACACTGGCGTCCTGGTCTTGGTTTTCTAAGTAGATGCATGTTGCACTTTGCATTCTGGGGACAAGACTAATGACCAGGAGGTGACTGGGGTGCACCTGTCCCCTCTTGCCCTGTCCCCCTGTACTTGTCTCAGTCCCAGGACAGGGGTGGAAGCATGGCAGCTCGGGTGCGAATCCTGCCCTGGAAACCCAGGATGTGGAGCTCTGGCTGCCGCAGGGTGCTTGTCTTCACAGCCACCCTCGGTGGGCCCCGAGCAACGAAGACAGACCCAGCACCAGGACACGTCATACTTCCTGAGTGTCCCACGTTCTTACCTCATGGCTCACACCTCACCTCAGCCCTGCCTCCAACCCTGCCTCGCAGGTGCGGAGCCAGCCAACTCCTGGAAAAGCACGTGGGGTCCCACTGACACCACCCATGCTGGTGTGTGAGGTGTGAGCTGCAAACCCAGGGCCCCCACTCAGCAAGACAGGGCGGTAAGAGCTGCTGTCGCCACTCAAAGCCCAGCACTTCCCCTAAGCACTTCCATTACGGCCCTTTCCAGTGCCAGGCTGCCGGGGCCTGAATGCCCTGTGGATTCCAGCACCCTGGACATTGTGTGCAAAGAGCTCCCAGCACTTTAGGCCCATTAGCATGATGGTTCTTCCACCAGCTGCTGCCCAGGAAGAACCAGAGCAGAGAGGTCGCAGCACGTGAAGGCTGGTGGGCAGGATGCAGGCCGACTGGAGGGTCACCTGCATGCCATGGGGTGGAGGCCCTGCTAAATATGTCACAGAGCACAGGAAGCTGGGGGAGAGGGGACGGCCCCCCGGGCCTACACACAGCTTGGAGGAGTTCGGGGAGGGCCAGCCTGCCTTCCCAGCCTAGCTTTAGCCTGGCCACACAAAGCACATAATCCATTGTGGCAACAAGCCCACGTCCCACCATGGCAGGAGACACGCGGCTCCCATCTAGACCACAGTCTAGAGTAACACTAAGTTTCCAGAGCTCCCCCAGCCACGTGGAGAAGGCGTGCCCATGCACGGCTGTCAGGTAGGGAAACTGACAGGCAGAATGCCAGCCCACAGGGGCTCTTGGTCCAGAATCAGGCTCCCTGCTGTGCAAGTCTGGGTTGTCTTCCATCACTGGGTGGGTGGGTGGGGCTCTCTCCAACGGCAGACCCTGCCTCTGCTGGCCAGCAGGGACACAGAGCCCCTGGGGACCTGAAGAAGAAGGCTGCAGCGCAGGAGCCACAAACACAATCTTGCTCCAGTGTGGGGCTGCGCTCTTCTCTGTGTTGTCTCCTTACAAGCCGCCGGCTCCATCTGGTTTTCAAGACAGACCCATCTCTTCCCCTACCTGTCAGTACAGCTCTTCCTGGTGGCCATCACAAAGCCGGGTTCAGGGGCGCTGTGCTCAGGGGTGTGTCTGAAAAGCAGGCACACGGTAGCTGCTTTCCACTGGGGTCGCAGGCTGGCCACAGCCTCCCAGGCTGCGATGTTGTCCGAGTGATAATGGAAGCACCTCTGCCATGATCCCCGCTGCCCCGCTGCGCCCACGGCTGCTGGCACGAGGGGATCTCTGCTCTCTGGCTTGTACGGGCTCGGGGCAACTCTGCCTCCCCAGCTTCCTGCTGATATGCACCCCGGGGGGCAGCTGATGATGGCTTGAGTAACTGGGGCCACTTGGGTACCCACTTGGGAGACCTAGGTTGCATCCCAGGCTCCTGGCTTTGACCTGGCCCAGCCCCAGCTGTCGTGGGCATGTGTGGAGTGAACCAGCAGATGGGAAATCTCCCTGTATGAGTCTCTCTACCTTCCAAATAAATAAAATTTAGAAAAGTGAGGGGAGGAAGAGCCACGCGGAGGTAAGAGGCCTGGAGCGATCCGCAGCACCGAAGTGCCTCAGTTTCCTCATCTGCACAGTGGCGATAGCTGGCTTCCTGCTTGATTTCCCCACAGAGCAGGGCCTTAGCCTCAGGGGGAAGAGGACCGGGTGACTGGAGAAGTGCACCTCTGACGACACCAGACCCCTGCATCGCTCCTGGGCACAGGGTCCGGGAGCGCAGGGGTAAGGCGCTCACAGAGGTAGGAGATGGAAGGGAAGGCAGACTCCCCGCCCCTGCTCCTGAACCCGCCTTCCTGGAGCCTCAGGGTGTGAGAACAGCCAGTCTGTCTCCTGTCCCCCTCCCAGGCTCCCCCCACCCCGGCCTCCCCGACTCCCGCTCTCATTCTTGCCCTGCAGGAACAGGGGCAGCACAGACTCCATGCCCCCTTCTGCCCCTCGTAGTTCTCCTGAGCAGTTTTCTCCTGGCCCCAGACATTTCTGACTCCAGGGCTGTTCACACCCCTGCCACCCGGAACCTCTGGTCTTGACTCCTCCATCCCCTGGGAGGAAGAAAGGGGCCCCTGGACTGGGGGTGGGGTCCACCCCCACGACCCTGGGGTCTAGAGAGCAAGAGAGACCCTCGGCCCTCCAGAGAGCAGGGGAGGACGCGGTGCCTGGAGGCAGCGCCTAAGTGACTTCGGTGGCGTGGCGTGGCGTGGCGCGCCAGCAGCCCTGGGCCTATCTCTCCAGGGCCTTCATCCCAATCCAAAGTTTCTCTCTCCAAGACAAGGCAAGGATGGCGGCGAGACCCTTTCTTTGGGAACACACGGATCAGGCGAAAGGTAGCATCCAGTGCTGGACCGGACAGGACCCCCACCCGGCGGCAGCGCGGCAGTGACGTGGGCATAGCCCATAACGGCGCAGGGGGCGGCCCCCAACCACCCCGGCCGAGTGCGTGGGCGGCACAGCCCCGGGGAATCCCGGCTGTGTGTTGGGGGGGGGGGACGGCTTATCCAGAGAAGACACTCCCACCTGCTGTCAGGCTGGAGTCCGGGGACCCCCGGGCAAGCCTCTGGGCCGTCTCCACCCCCCACCCAGTGAGGACGGGTCTACCCAGCCGCGGTCCTCCCGCAGGCGGCCCAGGCCACCTCCGCGGGGCCAGGTACTGTGGCGCAGTCTCCCCCACCCCCATCCTTCCAGGTCCGAGGTCCCGGGGAGCCTGGGAGCGATCGGCGCTTCCCCGCCCCCGCCCTGGAGCCGGATTCCGCGCCCTCTCTCTCCTGGCCCCATCACCTCCGGGCCCCGGCCCTGCGCGCTCACTGGGGTACATCTCCGGCTGCCGAGCTCGCTGCCGGGCCCCACGCGCCCTACCTGGGAGGAGATGGTCGGCCGGTCCCCTCCTCCGCGCCAGCCTGGCACAGCCGGCCCCGTCGCCCAGGGACTGTCGGCAAATTCCCCTCCGCATCACCGCGGGAGCGGCGTTCCGGCTCCTCCCCAGCCGGAGCCAAGCTCGGCCCCGCCCCAAGGCTGTTCAGACAGCGGGGGAACCCGGGCTGTATCAGCCTCTGCAAAGATCCAGGCTCCGCCTCGGAGACCCTGGCGCCGCCAGGAACCATCTGCAAATTACCATCGCCAACGCACACGGGCTTGCAGGTCCTTCGCAGCAGGTTGTTCCAGCACCCGAGGATGCGCTGGACTGACAGCCGCCTCGCCCACCCGCCCCTCTCCGCAGACTCTCCTCCGAGGCGTGTCCCCTTCCAAGCCCACCCAGTCCAGCGGGCCAGAAGCAAGCAAAGACACACAAGCCCACAAAGGCAGCGCGCTGCCCCGCCCAAGGACCAGCGCCTGGCACCAGCCCAGTGGCTGCTCCCCAGTTCTGGCCTCTTCTACCTCAGCAGGAGAAAGATCGACACATTGGCCACAGCTCCACACGGGAGCCCCAGGGAGTGGGCTGTCCCATTTTCAGTTTGTGGTGGGCAACACACCTTGTGGAGGCGGGGTCTCCAGCTCCATCAAAGACCCGATTCGATTCTACTGCTCCACGTGGCGGGTGTCGACCCTGGGGGCACGCACCCGTCTTTGCACCCCCAAAGATCATGTGCAAAGCGGGGCCCAGAAGCAAACAGCCTGCCTCTCCCAGACCCACACGTAGGGACATTTATCTAATGGGCATTATCCAGCATTCGCAGTACTATAATTAGTGGGACAGGGGCCTCTGCTGAAGAACCAGTGACTCCCTCCCAACAGTTTGCAATGGTAAGATATTGTTAGAGTTGGCAGCACTGTGACGAGAAGGCCGGGGGTCGGGGAGCAGCTGTGCTTTCATTCCCCCACAACCAGCCACCCAGTGATCTTCCCATGCACCCCCTGGCCTGGTGCACCCTGCCTGCACCTGCTCCCCACCCCCCACTCCCAACTCCTGGTGCTTGTGACCCAGGGACCCCAGGAAAACCCAAGGAGAACCATTAAGTGGGGCCTTTCCATTTCCATTTTCACTCACCCGCTTATTTGTATTCTTTCATGAGTCAGGAAGACTTTTGCCCCTATTTGATGCAGGTTCCTTTTTTTTTTTTCTTTTGATAGGCAGAGTTAGAGAGAGAGAGACAGAGAGAAAGGTCTTCCTTCTGTTGGTTCACCCCCCAAATGGCACGCTGCACCGATCTGAAGCCAGGAGCCAGGTGCTTCTCCTGGTCTCCCGTGGGGTGCAGGGCCCAAGCACTTGGGCCATCCTCCACTGCACTCCCAGGCCACAGCAGAGAGCTGGACTGGAAGAGGGGCAACCGGGACAGAATCTGGCACCCCAACTGGGACTAGAACCCGGTGTGCCAGCGCCACAGGCGGAGGATTAGCCAAGTAAGCCACGGCGCCAACCTTGATGCAGGTTCTTGCCCTTGCTCTAGCTGTCACCCTGTTATGCAATCTTGGGTAGGTCCCTTGATTCTTTTTTTTTCCCATCTCTCCTGTACCACTGAAGGCTGGGCTAGTTGAGGAATAAGGCCCCTGGGGCCCCACACTTTATCACCCTCTTCTGGGATGGAGGTTGATGGGTACAAAGACAAGCCAGACAAACACACCAAGAGTGCTGCCTGGGTCTGAGCCTCAGCCGAGCAACCTGAATTTGGGACTTCAGTTTTTGGGCTTCATTTTTTGCTTAGGCAGATGTGGGAAGTAATTACACTAACCTTAGGGGGAGGCTGTGAGGCTTAGATGAGACCACCTGCAAAGCGCGTGCTCTGGAAACATCAGATGCTGTGCTGTCCGTCTGGTCTCTGCCGCCGGCTGGGAGAGGGTGAAACCGGGACGAGAGCGGGCCTCCTCGCGTCCTCTGCGTCCCTATCACGGAACCTGTTGTTGAGCCTGTGCACAGGTGGAGGAGACACCTGGCGGGCCTCAAGGATGAGCCACAGAAAGGGAGGGAGGTGAAGCTGTGGAAAGGCCATGTGGGCTGCTTGATGGTCAAAGACGACCTCGATGTCCAAACCAACCACGAGCAGCCACCTCACGGGAGGCGTGGAGAAGCTTTCTCAGTGAAGGGGTGTGGGGACCACGGCTGTGGCTTCTGAAGGAAAGGCCCTCTGGGCTGTGGCGCTGAGAGCACTTCTCCTGTTCTCCCTCGGGCGGGCCAGGTGGGAGTGCCCTGGCCCGGGCTATCATCTCTGAAAGACTACACCTCGCATCACCTCCATGGCTGCGCGGTTAGCTTCCAGGGTCTTTGTCTGGAAACATCCTCCAGAACATGACAGAGTAAACAAAAGGAGTCTGAGTAACCCAAACAGACGGGACCATCTGAGGGAGCCAGGTGCTTCCTCTGAGTGCGCCTTCATTCCCTCCACACGCCATTTCAACAGGTCCGGGTGGCAGAGCCTGCCACAGCCCCCTTAGGTCCCTTCTTCCCTGCTGCCCTCGGCAGTAGTGCTCCTAAGTGTCATCCTGGGTTCAGGGCCCCTCTGCAGAGACCACATAGCCCCCTTGCAGCCAGGTGCAGCTATGAACTAAGTCCTAGCCAGTGGGATGTGAGTGGAGTGGTGTGTTTAACTTCCGGGTCACATCCTTAAAAAGAAGTGCCTGCTCTCCACTTCCTCCTCTTCCGTCTTCGTGAAGCCTGGGACATGGACATGGAGGTGGAAGGGAGTGATTGGTGATACTTCGCAGGACAAATCTCTAGGGCTGGCCAAGCAACAAGACAGAAAGAACTTGATTCATATCCTAACCTGGAGAAAAGCCCTGGAATGCCAGCCACCTTGAACTTCTCTATGAGACAGCAATAGACCTTATGAAGCCAGATCTCTGTGTAACAGGTGCACCAATAGCCTAAGAGATGAGCCTTTTCTGATTACCAAACCCACAGCAGGTGAGCCAGGTGAGCAGGAACATCCTGGAAGGACTGAGACTTTAGAAAAATGCAAACATGGGCCGGCGCTGCGGCTACTTGGCTAATCCTCCACCTGTGGCGCCGGCACACCGGGTACTAGTCCCGGATGGGGTGCCAGATTCTGTCCCAGTTGCTCCTCTTCCAGTCCAGCTCTCTGCTGTGGCCCGGGAGTGCAGTGGAGGATGGCGCAAGTGCTTGGGCCCTGCACCTGCATGGGAGACCAGGAGAAGCACCTGGCTCCTGGCTTTGGATCGGTGCAGCGTACCGGCCACAGCGGCCATTGGGGGGTGAACCAACGGAAGGAAGACCTTTCTCTCTATCTCTCTCTCTCTCATTGTCTAACTCTGCCTGTCAAAAAAAAAATGCAAACATGATGGGGATGTCAAAAGTCAAGAGCAACAGAGGCGATCAAGCAACTATAAAACAAACTCAGAAGTTTGGAGTCATTTGGTGCAGGTCATTCCAAGAGGCCTTGAGGACATCCTTGTGTCATGGGATCATCTTAGAAATGTGCTTGGAACAACAATGATGCATCATTAAGAGAAGGTTGGGGCCTGCGCTGTGGCATAGTGGGCTAAGCCTCTGCCTGTGGCACCAGCATCCCATATGGGTACCTGTTCAAGTCCTAGCTGCTCCTCTTCCTATCCAGCTCTCTGCTGTGGCCTGGGAAAGCAGTGGAAGATGGCTCAAGTTCTTGGACCCCTGTACCCATGTGGGAGACCTGGAAGAAACACCTGGCTCCTGGCTTTGGCTTGGCCCAGATCCAGCCATTTCAACCATTTGCGAAGTGAACCAACAGATAAAAGACCTTTCTCTCTGTCTGTCCCTCTCTCTGTAACTTTACCTCTCAAATAAATAAATAAAATATTTTTTCAAAAGAAAAGATAATGTTGAGACCAGTGCAGTGGTGGTGGGTTAAGCTGCCGTCTACAGCACTGGCATCCCATATGGGCGCTGGTTTGAATTCTGGTTGCTCCACTTCACATCCAGCTCCCTGCTAATGTGCCTGGGAAAGCAGCAAAGGATGACCCAAGTGCTTGGGCCCCTGCACCCATATGAGAGACCCAGAAGAAGCTCCTGGCTCCTGGCTTCAGCCTGGCCCAGCCCTGGCCTTTTAAGCAGTGAACCAGAGGATGGAAGATATCTCTCTCTCTGTCTCTCTCTCTCTGTCTCTCTCTCTCTCTCATCTCTCCTCTTCCATTTATGCTGACTTTCAAATAAGTAAATAAATCTTTTTTTTTTTAAAGAGAAGGTTATGTCATTGACCAAAGAGTTTGTTTTTAAAAGGAAGCAATTCTATTATATATTTAGAAAGCATTCCTAGGCCAGCGCCGCAGCTCAATAGGCTAATCCTCTGCCTGCGGCGCTGGCACACCGGGTTCTAGTCCTGGTCGGGGCGCTGGATTCTGTCCCGGTTGCCCCTCTTCCAGGCCAGCTCTCTGCTGTGGCCAGGGAGTGCAGTGGAGGATGGCCCAAGTGCTTGGCCTGCACCTGCATGGGAGATCAGGAGAAGCACCTGGCTCCCGGCTTCGGATCAGTGCGGTGTGCCGGCCGCAGCGGCCATTGGAAGGTGAACCAACGGTAAAGGAAGACCTTTCTCTTTCTGTCTCTCTCTCTGACTGTCCACTCTGCCTGTCAAAAATAAAAAATAAAAAAATAAAAAAGAAAGCATTCCTAATAAAATGGTTAAAATAAAATAAAGTTTGCATATTAGGAGGAGAAGCCTTCAACATTCAGAAAACCCAGTCAATCCAAAATGACAGCTTTCCTCAAAGACTAGAGAGCAAAGATTTTGATTAATTTACCTTCTCCCTCCCTGAATATAAATCCTTTAGAGATCTGATTATGTCTCCTTTTTCTTTTTAATTTTCTTTTTTTAAGACTTATTTATTTGAAAGGCAGAGTTACAGAAAGACAGAGTCAGAGACACAGAGAGAGGTCTTCCATCTGCTGGTTCACTTCCCAAATGGTCACAATGGCTGGAGCTGAACCAATCTGAAGCCAGGAGCCAGGAGCTTCCTTTGGGTCTCCCACCCGGGTGCAGGAGCCCAAGGACTTGGGTCATCTTCCACTGCCTTCCCTGGCCATAGCAGAGAGCTGGATCAGAGGTGGAGCAGCTGGGACTCAAACTGGTGCCCATATGGGATGCTGGCACTGCAGGCGGCAGTTTTACCAGCTACACCATAGTGCCAGCCCCTCTTTAATTTTCATTCATTTATTTGAGAAAGCAAGAGACAGAGACAGACACAGAGAGAGTGACCATCTGCAGTTCCCTTCCCAAATGCCTGCAATGGCTGGGTCTCCCATGTGGGTGGCAGGAACCTAATTAC